ATTTGACTCCGGTGTATCCTTTAATCCCTAAGCACTGACGCGCACCCCCTTGACGTCCGTGGGACGGAAGGTGATTCAACACCCTGATGGTTGTCATATCGAATCTCAAAGACCGCACATGTATGCACACAGGCAAAATCATCTCGTCTCTTTTCGACGTTTTTGCGATAATATTCAACGTATCTCGTATAGTGGTATTCGCAACGATACCGAACAAACTTTATGGAAATTTCGCATCCATTCTTTCGTTGTACTTTCATCCTCAATGTTATGCAAAATATTACTTCCGCGTCTTCTGTATTATCGTCATTCCTCCTCTGAGACACGAAGAGTGCCTGTCATCTGTGTATTTCCGCTTTTCCAGAGATAAAACAATTTATCGTCACAAAGATCATTCTTTGCGAAGGTTTCTAAGGAGGAGCAGTATATTTTCCTTTATTCGTGATAACGCGCGCGCGTTGCGATATTTGCCTATTATTTTATTATTTCGAATGTCTCTTCTTATTACAAAAATACATCTTTTTTATTGCAATGTTTTTTACCATTTTAACATGCTATATCGAATGATCTACTTGCGCATCAATATGTATACTGTTGCACTATGCACTGTGCACAAAGTAGGATATGTTGAAAGTAAGCATGATATATAGGGAGAAAGCGTAATTAAAGAACGCATAACTGCCCTATCTTTTTCTTCAAAGAACATGAAAAAATGCAGTGCTATTACTCGAAAGGGCACCTATTCCTTATCACCGTTTCTAATTAACATCAAAGGCAACTCTTTGATCTTTCGGTGCAAAAAGACCGGTATGTTCGCACGCCACCTCCGCTTCTTGAAAGAAGCGGAAGCACGGTTTAGGTACAGCTACAGCTCTCAGCGTTGCTGTACAACTAAAAAAAAAAGACGGCGAGATATATATTTCGCAGTAGGTCACCGAGAGCTCTCGGACACACATTATCGTTCGACATGTGAACCGAAAAATAAAAAGGGGAAAGAAAGAAGAGAAAAAAAGAGTGCAATACATCTCGCAACATCACGAGTGCTGCACGATCCTCGCAGCTTGCTGCACGCGAGCGAAATGATGTCGCCCCCGACTTGCAAGTTTGCGCGACTGGCCGGCCAACGCACCGTGGAAGGGGGCGTGGGAGGAAAGGGTCAGCCGGGAAAGTTCAACTTCAGAATTTACGGGCTGACGCGAGGAAAAAAGTTTCGGCACACATCTGGATGCGGCCGACCGATAATCGATATGTGCGGCCATTCTTACTGCGTCGCCGGCACGCCACTCTGAAATCAAAATTTTTCGACTAATTTGGCCCGTAATGCCTTTCCGGCCGATTTGAGGATGCCGTCGAGAGAGTAGAAAAGTTGTCGCGTCCTTGTGTGCAAGGGATATTTATTTCACGCCGAGTCTCTTGCGTTTTTCACCTTCGTCTCACTCGCGAATTCGCCCGCGCGCAGAATTTCCTCGCATAAATCATAAACGCGCCAAATCGCCAAGCTCAATTAGAATTTGCAGGCTTTTGAAATGCGATTAATGGAGGATCGTCTCGCGGGAGAACGAGTCGAATTATGCGAAACGTTGGAAGTTAATTATTCCCTGAATCAATATTTTGGTTCCGCATTAATCCTACAAATTCCCTCGAACTTAGCGAGCACTGTACACTGCATTGTTTCACCTTTGACGCTGTATTGTTTTACTTATCCATGAACTATACACTTACTCGTTAATCTTTATCCATATTATCTAATTTTGGTTTTATTGCACGTATTATATACCTGCAATAAATTATTAAGTTAAATAAGCAATATAACGTTTGTTCAAATTAAGAATAAAGATTAAATCGAATATTATTAGGTGGTAAACTTAGTTCCTCACAGTTAGATGACGTTAGTTGTAGGTGTAATTTATTTTGACATCTGAAACTGGCTGCATTTTAGAGATTAGACATTTGTCAATAAAATTCAGTGCGAAGAGATTCATTTAAGCGAGCAGTGCTATTTTTTCTTTTGATTAAATATGGAACGTGATAAGTTGTTTTTCCGACATGTGCTGCTTCATTACTTTGACTTGAAAAAAACTGCAGCTGCAGCTCATAAATTGCTTTTCGAAGCTTATGGCAATTATGCTCCATCGGAAAGAACATGCCAAGTATGGTTTCAGCGATTTAAGAGTGGTGATTTTGATGTCAATGATAAAGAACGCTCAGGCCAACCGAAAAAGTTTGAAGACACCGATTTGCAGGCATTATTGGACGAAAACTCTACTCAAACGCTCCAAGAATTGTCTGCAG